TACCTTCATCCCTCCACTCTGTGCATTTATTCTTACTCCTACAACCCTGCTCAGACATTTTTCTCTTCCCCCCCATCCTGCATGTAACCCCCTGAAATCAGGCATGATTCTCCAAATAAACACAGTAAAAAAATAAAAATAAAATACAAAGGCAGCCCAAGAAACACAAATGCTTAAAGAAAACCCCACAATATAAGGGATCCAAAACACACACTTTTCAAAAAAACGTGTTTCCCATCGCTTTAAATCATAGTTTTATTCACTGACAATACACGGAAGAGAAGGTAGATCAAACAACAGTAACTAACGGATAAGAAAATATTATTAGAAAATATATTTTTTTCAGAGAATTTCCTTTGGGGGGCTTTCTCCAAAAGAGTTGGAAAATTCCAGGAACTCTGACAAATATTCCCAGCTTCACCACACACACATAGGCTGGTCAGTTTAAATGCAACTGTGGATTCTAATGTATTGTTGTGAGTTGGGGGTGGTTGAGTAGGCCGTATGTGTTTCTTCTAACTCCTGGATCCAACAAGGATTCAATAGCTGGAATAGCCAAGCCAGCTTCTTGGTAATGGCCTGCTAAGTATGGGTCATTAAGGTAACAAATGAAGTGTCTCTGTGCCAGACAGAAAATGGTTGGGCCCCCTTCCTTCAACTGCCTGTTTGTTAGAAGGACAAAAGCCAGAGTTCATAGAATCATAGAGTTGGAAGAGACCACAAGGGCCATCGAGTCCAACCCCCTGCCAAGCAGGAAACACCATCAGAGCACTCCTGAAATATGGTTGTCAAGCCTCTGCTTAAAGACCTCCAAAGAAGGAGACTCCACCACACTCCTTGGCAGCAAATTCCACTGTCGAACAGCTCTTACTGTCAGGAAGTTCTTCCTAATGTTTAGGTGGAATCTTCTTTCTTGTAGTTTGGATCCATTGCTCCGTGTCCGCTTCTCTGGAGCAGCAGAAAACAACCTTTCTCCCTCCTCTATGTGACATCCTTTTATATATTTGAACATGGCTGTCATATCACCCTCTTCTCCAGGCTAAACATGCCCAGCTCCCTTAGCCGTTCCTCATAAGGCATCGTTTCCAGGCCTTTGACCATTTTGGTTGCCCTCCTCTGGACACATTCCAGTTTGTCAGTGTCCTTCTTGAACTGTGGTGCCCAGAACTGGACACAGTACTCCAGGTGAGGTCTGACCAGAGCAGAATACAGTGGCACTATTACTTCCCTTGATCTAGATGCTATACTCCTATTGATGCAGCCCAGAATTGCTTTGGCTTTTTAGCTGCCGCGTCACACTGTTGGCTCATGTCAAGTTTGTGGTCAACCAAGACTCCTAGATCCTTTTCACATGTACTGCTCTCAAGCCAGGTGTCCCCCATCTTGTATTTGTGCCTCTCATTTTTTTTGTCCAAGTGCAATACTTTACATTTCTCCCTGTTAAAATTCATCTTGTTTGTTTTTGCCCAGTTCTCTAATGTGTCAAGGTCGTTTTGAAGTGTGATCCTGTCCTCTGGGGTGTTAGCCACCCCTCCCAGTTTGGTGTCATCTGCAAATTTGATCAGGATGCCCTTGAGTCCATCATCCAAGTCGTTGATAAAGATGTTGAATAAGACCGGGCCCAAGACAGAACCCTGTGGCACCCCACTAGTCACTCTTCTCCAGGATGAAGAGGAACCATTGATGAGCACCCTTTGGGTTCGGTCAGTCAGCCAGTTACAAATCCACTGAGTGGTAGCATAGTCAAGACCGCATTTTACCAGCTTCTTTACAAGAATATCATGGGGCACCTTGTCAAATGCCTTGCTGAAATCAAGGTAGGCTACATCCACTGCGTTCCCTTCATCTACCAGGCTTGTAATTCTGTCAAAAAACGACATCAGGTTAGTCTGACATGACTTATTTTTCGGAAATCCATGCTGACTATTGGTGATCACAGCATTCCTTTCTAGGTGCTCACAGACTGTTTGCTTAATGATCTGCTCCAGAATCTTCCCTGGTATTGATGTCAGACTGACTGGGCAGTAATTATTTGGGTCCTCTCTTTTCCCCCTTTTGAAAATAGGGACAACATTTGCCCTCCTCCAGTCTGCCGGGACTTCGCCTGTTCTCCAGGAATTCTCAAAGATGACTGCCAGTGGTTCTGAGATCACATCTGCCAGTTCTTTTAATACTCTTGGATGCAGTTCATCTGGCCCTGGAGACTTGAATACATCTAAACTAGCCAAGTATTCTTGTACTAGCTCCTTAGTTATTCTGGGCTGTGTTTCCTCTGCTGAATCATTTGATCCAAATTCTTCAGGTCGGGCATTGTTTTCTTTATCGGAGAAGACTGAGGCAAAGAAGGCATTGAGGAGTTCAGCCCTTTCTGTGTCCCCTGTTTGCATTTCACCATCTTCTCCTCTGAGTGACCCCACTGTTTTGTTGTTCTTCCTTTTGCTACGAACATACCCATAAAAGCCTTTTTTGTTGCTTTTAACCTCTCTAGCAAGCCTGAGTTCATTCTGTGCTTTAGCTTTTCTGGCTTTGTGTCTACACGTGCTGGCTATTTGTTTGAATTCCTCTTTGGTGGTTTCCCCCTTTTCGATTTTTTTGTACGCATCCTTTTTAATCTTAACTCAGTTAAAAGTTCTTTAGATAGCCACCCTGGCTTCTTTAGGCACCTTCCATGTTTCCGTCTCATTGGTATTGCCTGAAGTTGTGCTTTTACTATCTCCCTCTTAACAAACTCCCAGCCATCATGAACTCCCTTTCCTTTTAGTATTACTGTCCATGGAATCTCACCCAGCACTTCCCTAAGTTTTATGAAGTCGGCTTTCTTAAAGTCAAGAAATTGAGTCCTAGTAGCTTGGCTGCTCCTTTCCGCTGTATAGTAAACTTCAGAAGAGCATGATCACTCGCGCCTAATGATCCTTCCACTTCTACCCCACTAACCAGGTCATCAACATTGGTTATGACCAGATCTAAAATGGCTGTTCCTCTTGTTGCTTCTCCCACTTTCTGGACAATGAAGTTGTCTGCAAGGCCAGTGAGGCATCTGTTTGACCTTATGCTCTTGGCTGAGTTTGACATCCAACAAATATCCGGGTAATTGAAGTCCCCCATTACTACTATCTCCCTTTTTTTTGCATGCTTGGCCATCTGTTCCAGGAAGGCATCATCTATGTCCTCCGTTTGGCTTGGGGATCTATAGTAGAGGTGTTTGAGATGTAGAAGCAAGAAGTAGGCTGGGCAGCTGAGAATTAGAGCCATGCCTGATTTCTGCTGGGATCCAAGGCTGTGGCTATGAAAGAAGCAAGATTTTATTAGGGTGTTAATGCTATGAGCCCCTCCATCATAAGCAATTATTAACCATCTCTGACAGTGTTGCTCTACTTACCTAGCGGGAAGGCTAGAGAGTCAGTGTCCCAGTTCAGGCACACTTAAAGTGCTCCAAGGGCTCAGTGCTCCAAGGGCTGAGCAAAGAAGGAGGTAGGAAGGATATTTGTTCAAACTCCATTCTTTCCTGGGAAAAGGCCCCATTAAATAGAGAATAACTTGCACATGTAACATAGAAAGTTCAGTTATTTGTGCAAGAATTTTGCTGGAAGATGTTAAAGAGAACTTAAAGGAAAAGTGACAATTGAGGAGGTTCAGAACTGACCCACTGCCTGACCTCCTGTCAATCAAAAGTCTTGCTTCAAACATTTCCGAGCACCAGACATAACAAGTGACCTGGATTTGAATACCTGAAATTGCTAAGAGGCCATCGCAATGTCAGTGAACCTAAGAGTGGCTCCTCTGCATAGGATTAGTTTCTGCTAGACGGTTGAAATGTATAAGGGCAAAAGCAATCATGTACACCACAATGTCTCATCTGAAAGAATTGCCAACTATTGTTCTCAGTGGGTAGCACAAAGGGACTATCAGCTCCCTGGAATGCCTAAATTGACTCAGCTTGTTAAAAAGATGGATAAGTAATCTCATAGCACTTCTAAAATATTACTTTAAGTAGCATGCCTTATTTAAAACAACACCCTTGATTTGAACCCTATACTGCAATCAAGTCGTGCTAAATGTGACTTGTTCTTAAATCCTACTTTTGGTAGGAAGGAATGAGAACAAACTTAATGACTTTTAGGTCTCTGGTGTTCAATCAGGAATACAAAGCAAGTAAGATTTAAAAGTCTCTTATGAGTCTAATAACTTATCTCTCTCCTAAAAAGCCTTTAACTGACACTGCACTTGCACCTGGTTGCAGCCTGAGGGGAGGGAGAAAGTTACAAGTTTAAACATGGCAACTCAAACCCACATATTTTAAGCAGAAAAGGTAAGAACAGAAGGAAGTTCCATATGTTCATTTGGCATTTGTATCCCAGTCTGATGCAAGTTTGTTTAGAAGTAACTCACACTGAGTTTAATGGGCCTGACTCCAAGGTATACATGGGATTATAGGCTGCTCTAACCACCAGTTACTGTAGGTGACGTCACTAGAGCATATATGTATAACTCCTGTATAGTTTGAGAAGCCACATTGCAACATCTGTACAAAATGTTTCATGTAACAGTTGCGATCCTAGATCACAAAACAAGTAAAAATGTATTATTAAAAATCTCCCAATTGTATTTTTTATTTCTGTTCTGCACTTTTAAAATTGTAACCTTTTCTGTATGACATAGAATTGTATCATACTGACAATCTTATACCCATTTACCTGAAAGTAAGCCTCATTTTACACATTGGGGCTTACATCTGAATAGACATATTCACCGTCCGCTAGTATCTTAATAAAGATACAGACTGCAAGTTCCAGTCCTACTTGTTTTTTAAAAGTACAAAATCATGGGATTATGTATGCACAGCAAAGGCATGTCTGCTTGCTTACTTTATTCCTATTATAAACCAAAAGGTACCTGCAGAAATGTTTTACTTAAGGCTAACTCATTTATTTTCTCCTGTAAATCTGTGTGGTTTTGTTTTTTTTACTAACTTTGAGAGATTACTTTCCTTCCACTTCCTTGGGTTTCATACACTACTGTAAACCAGAAGCCTCTCTCGCTCTCTCTAGACATTTTTCTTCCACGAAAGAAAATGATCGCTCAAAGTTAGAAATCCATCTAACTAAATATGTGATTTTTAAAGAAAATGACGGAAATAAGAAAAAAAAGGCATCAAGCAAAGCATTCTGTGCTGATCTGTAAAAGCACTTAGGATCCTGAACACATGAAAAAGAAATAAGGGGAAAAAGGGGGCTGATAAAGTTTCTGGCTACAATACAGGAGACATATCATTACCATATGATCTACTGTGGGTGTCAGCTTGGATTCTGTTCATTGAGGGAAACCTTACTTTTTTAACTGTGCTATGGAATAGAAGACGCAGGAGGGTTTTCCACCAAGTGACAGACAACTGAGCAGTAATCTACCCCTCCTCCTTTCCACACCTGCACCTTCTTCTGCCTGGCTTGAATATTTCAGTTTAATTGCATCTCAGCTCTGAGGGCGCCTTTTGCAAATCCCTGGATTAAAAGGTATGGCTTTCAATAATTATCCTGAACTCTGCTCCGGTACAGTAAAACTTCGGTAAAAGCTAGGAGAAACAGGGAGCCTGAAAGAAGTGGCTTTAAAAGAGATGTTTAGTACTGTTATATCTGCATTATTTGGGAGCATTCTAGAGAACTGTGGATGTTTCCTAGCATTCTTTTACATTTGGGGCCATTTCTTTGTATTTTTGTAAGGATTTGTATGTTCCGAGTTTTCCAGCTGTGCATTTTCTTGCTCTAATGCAAAGTTTGAAGTATATGATGTTGTAGGAGGAAAACAGAAACTTCATGTTTTGTAGTTTGAAAACCAGAAGGTATTTGTTTTAAGTTAAAGGGGTGGTGGAGGAATGTTTTGCCCAGAGTAGCAGACATCTTTCTAAACACTGCAGAGTGGTATATTGCATATGTAAACAGCGATTGCATATTTAAGACAAGAAGTTTCTTGACTGGAAAAACTAAAGATAAACAAGCAGGCATTCCATACAGTTTTAAAATTGAAATAAACATGCTTTCAAAATCTTGAATGTGCCCTGTAGCATGTTCCTTACCTCATCTGTTCTAAGAAAAGCATTTGCTATGAAAAGAAATGCAGTATATTAGTTGCTGTTGAAGTAGATGAAACTGAGATAGAGCTGTAGTTCTCTTTTTAGAAAAGTCCTTATTCTCTCCATTTTCTAAATGGTATAGACATCTCTTTATTCTGCAAACTAGTTACGCCAAACATTCAGTCCTAGGACTCTGGATCAACTGATTTATGGATCAGGCTGTATAAGATTTAAACTCCTAGAAAGAAATACCACAGCATAATTCAGTATAGAATTAAATCACCCCACCCATCCCCACCCTCAATATAATATATATGTATCATCTCACAATCCTTCTCTCCATATGGTTTGCTTATTTTGCTGTTTGTATATTTTTTTTCTGGCTATTCTGGTGTTTTTATTTACATGCCTTTTACAACTGTCTGTTAGTTGATCCGATAAAAGAATCACTATAACCTCAAGCCTTATTTGCTGTTCTCAGAAATAACTGATTGAACTAATACATGGCACAATTCTATGCATGCTTACTCAAAAGTAAGTCTCACAAGGTTCAATGGGGCTTTCTCTCTGCAGCTACAGAATAGTTGTGGAAGGAATACTCCAGCAATTACTGAAGGATAAGGCCCATCGTTAGTTGGCAGAAACATAGTTTTTTCATTTATTTTAGGCTGCTATGTTCATCAGATTTATTTAAGTTCCTTTGACGTTCCTTTGAACTTTAGTTCCTTTGAGATCTTTCAGAATATCATTGTTAATCAGGGGTTTTTAAAAATGCCTTTTACATTATGTGGGTCATCATTTGAATACAGTGACATAAGCAAAGGATGTGCCTCTTTTGTAAATCATCTTTCAACAATGACTTACATGGAATTACCACGACATTCTTCATGTGCCAGTTATGCCCCTAAAGTGAGAATCCTAATGGCCGATAGGATCAATTGATTATTTACCAAAAAATATTACAGGTTTCATAAACGAAACAAAACCCTTACAGACTTTATTCTAGACTCTAATTTAAGGCACAGAAATATTTTCAAAAAATCATAACATTTTAGCAACAGGGGAATAAGAGTTCATATAAACCATCCTTTTGCCTGATTAACTGGGAGAAGAAATAAAATACCATTTATGCTATTTTATGTTTCACATTTGGATTTGCTAGAACATTTGTCCCTTTTGATACTCCTAAGGATTAGATTTACTTCCTCTTAATATGTAATTAATCTATTAATCTGGAAACATGCCAAGGTCTTTTAACTTCAAGTAGAGTTAATAGACTTTGAGACCTGTGTGCCAGTGTGGTGCAGTATCATTCTAAAGTGTTGGGTTGAATCAGGGAGGCATGGGTCCACATTTTTGCTCACTGGGTGACTCTGAGCCAGTTAATATCTCTCAGCCTAACCTCCCTCACAAGGCTATCATGAGAATAATATATATTGGGGGGTTGGGAGGGTATATATGATATGGAAACCAGAACTCCTTTGAGGAAGGTTAAGGTCAAAATAAAACCAAGTTCATTGCTTCATTGTATTGTGCTTTAATTCACATGCAACTGCATAGAAAAAGAAAAATACCGCCCAAATGACTTTTAGAAGTTCAGTAGTAAAAATTCTGCTCCCACTCTCACTACAAAGAGAACTACAAACCTGCAACCATCTTACAGAACTTCTGCTACAGTAGTTTTGCCATCCTCATCCTCATAATGGCAAACTGAAAAGATTTCGTCCTGTTTCATGCTGGGGGAAAGAGCCTACAGTTAGCTATGATCTGTGGGGATGCACAGTGGAATATCATTACTGTTTGTTCTCCATGAAGTTGTAAGAGCCTTCCAATAGAGGCCTTATAACTTGGGGCATGGTGCCTTACTGGTAGGGTTACTACCTTTGTTTTGGCAAAATACAGGACAGGATGGGGACAAGATTGATGGGTGAAGTCCCCCCACACCTGGTGCTGAAATGACTTCAGCACAATCCATTACATTGCAGCCTAACAGGACAACCCCTCTGGGATTTGTCACATGCACATGGATGTGTAAATATGTCTGTGCTTTGCTACCCAGAGCTTAAATTCCTGACCTTTAACACACATACACTACTGTATGCAGGCTGGGGCAAAAAAATAAGTAAATGAGGTGGGTATATTCTGATGAGGCATATGTTAAATTTCTGAGAGAGAGAGAAAATATTAGGGGGTGCGGAGCAAGCCTTCTGGGGAGCTACTTCTCCTCCACCCTCCTCTCTCAAATATCATGCAGTTAATTATGTTCAGAACTGGGGCTTCTAGGCTACACTGACCAAAACTACTTGTTTCCAGAGACTCAGACCCTCTTGCTCCCTGAGAAACAAGGCCTAGCACTCCCAGGCTGCAGCTCTGTGGAAGACCGCCTCAACCCACCCTGAAGCTGAAGGGAATTGGAAGCAGCAACATGAAAGCCTTGCCCCATTGTTTGCTCATCCTTGGGGGCGGGATGAGAGAGGGAGCGATGAGAAAAAAGGAAAGGAAAGAAGCAAGAGGCATTTTCTCCAGCCAAGCCAGCAATGCCTTCCCTGTAGGAATGGAGGCAGTCATTTGGAGAGGGTGATTTGGCCAAGAAAGAGCAAGAACAAGAGAGCAGGACAGACATGCAGGAAATACAGGACAAACGATGTCCTGTATTGAATCAACACAGGATGTAAAATTGTGCATTAAAACATGGGGCAATCCTGTATTATACAGGATGAGTTGCAACCCTCCTTGTTGTTGTTGTTGTTTAGTCGTTTAGTCGTGTCCAACTCTTCGTGACCCCATGGACCAGAGCACGCCAGGCACTCCTGTCTTCCACTGCCTCCCGCAGTTTGGTCAGGCTCATGTTTGTAGCTTTGAAAACACTGTCCAACCATCTCGTCCTCTGTCGTCTCCTTCTCCTTGTGCCCTCCATCTTTCCCAACATCAGGGTCTTTTCCAGGGAGTCTTCTCTTCTCAAGAGGTGGCCAAAGTATTGGAGCCTCAGCTTCACTATCTGTCCTTCCAGTGAGCACTCAGGGCTGATTTCCTTCAGAATGGATACGTTTGATCTTCTTGCAGTCCATGGGACTCTCAAGAGTCTCCTCTAGACCATAATTCAAAAGCATCAATTCTTCGGCGATCAGCCTTCTTTATGGTCCAGCTCTCACTTCCATACATCACTACTGGGAAAACCATGGCTTTAACTATACGGACCTTTGTTGGTAAGGTGATGTCTCTGCTTTTTAAGATGCTGTCTAGGTTTGCCATCGCCTTTCTCCCAAGGAGCAGGCGTCTTTTAATTTCGTGACTGCTGTCACCATCTGCAGTGATCCTGGAGCCCAAGAAAGTAAAATCTCTCACTGCCTCCATTTCTTCCCCTTCTATTTGCCAGGAGGTGATGGGACCAGTGGCCATGATCGTCATTTTTTTTTTTTATGTTGAGCTTCAGACCATATTTTGTGCTCTCCTCTTTCACCCTCATTAAAGGTTCTTTAATTCCTCCTCACTTTCTGCCATCAAGGTTGTGTCATCTGCATATCTGAGGTTATTGATATTTCTTCCGGCGATCTTAATTCCAGCTTGGGATTCATCCAGCCCAGCCTTTCGCATGATGAATTCTGCATATAAGTTAAATAAGCTGGGAGACAATATACAGCCTTGCCATACTCCTTTCCCAATTTTGAACCAATCAGTTGTTCCATATCCAGTTCTAACTGTAGCTTCTTGTCCCTCCTTACTGGGCTGATTTTCTATATTGGCAATGCAGGCTGGGGGCTGTTTCCCTACAGCAGGGTTTTATGGTGTAAGCAATAATTATAAACAGCAAGCAAGTAGATGACATGGTTTCTTTCCATACCAATGCCACTCTGGCAGTGCTAGTGTGGGAAATAACTGTGTCATCAGTTCATCCTGTGTGGTTTCTTTTGACAGATGTTACTGGTATAGGATGGGATCCAGATATGAGGAAACAGCATTTGAGCCACAATGGTATGAGTGGTCATCGTAACATGAATTAGCCCCAAGGGTGCTGACAATAAGCAGCATACATCTGTGAGGCTATGTTGTTGAGTTTAAAAATGTACTATAGAAAAACAAAACTTTTTTTGGGGGGGGGAATTGCACACAACTACGAAACAGCAGAGATAGCCCAATCCTTTCTGTTATTGCATCTGAGTCAAGAAACAACAGCAGAGGAGCTTCAAGGTCCTGCCCTGCCTCTTCCTGTACCACCCCCCTTGAGATACCTGAAACTTCAGGTAAACGCCATCCAGCTGAATGTCAAAATTAGATGTAAGGTGCCTGGCTGTCATTTTTAATCAGTTTTAGGGGCACCTGTAGTACTATGGCAGATGGTTTAAAATTGGACTATATTTTGATATACAGACAAGAAAGCCAAAAACAACAAACTTGAAATTCAACCTTTTCCCTTAAAATGCTTTACAGGATTTACTTTAAGCAACTAAAGGTTCCTTTCACATGATATTGCCAGCCTGGCAAGTTTTGGGCTTAAAAAAAATAATCAACAACAGAATATTATCCCTCCCTTCCCAATACTATCATAAGTTTCACAGCCTCAGGCTAACCGTGACAATGGGGAAAAAACAATTCAGTCCATTTGTATCTTGACTAAGAACTGGCAAATAATTCTTCCCTTAATTTTTGTGCAGAATCCTAACACAACTGTTTGTTACTAATAAATACAAGTCAAATCAAACTATGCAGACAGTTGTGCACAGAACTGACTCTGTGTTCCTCTGTGAATCTCTGTTTTATAAATACTTATTGGTTTTCTACATAAATTATATCTGGGTAATGCTTTATCAGGACGTGGGTGGCGCTGTGGGTTAAACCACAGAGCCTAGGACTTGCCGATCAGAAGGTCGGCGGTTCGAATTCCGGCGACGGGGTGAGCTCCCATTGCTCAGTCCCTGCTCCTGCCAACCTAGCAGTTCGAAAGCATGTCAAAGTGCAAGTAGATAAATAGGTACCGCTCTGGCGGGAAGGTAAACGGCATTTCCGTGTGCTGCTCTGGTTTGCCAGAAGCGGCTTAGTCATGCTGGCTACATGACCCGGAAGCTGTACGCCGGCTCCCTCGGCCAATAAAGCGAGATGAGTGCCGCAACCCCAGAGTCGGTCACGACTGGACCTAATGGTCCGGGGTCCCTTTACCTTTACCTTTACCATCGCATTTACACACTTCAGCACAACTCCACCAAAAACTGTTTTGATTATAATTATGTGAAAGATATGAGTATGAACACAATGCCACCAATTTACAAATCTTTGCTTCTTCTTTTTTGACTTCTAGATTCACAGCTGCCACCTTGAATAGATGAACTAAACCATGAAGGTAGCCGTTTTCTTCCTTCTACTCCTGCCACTTTGCTTGGCTAAGCCATTCCACCAAAAAGGCTTGTTTGATTTTATGCTTGAAGATGAAGCAGGTTCTGGAACTACAGATACTCCAGATACTTATCCTCCACTGCAAGGCCCAGTATGTCCATTCCGCTGCCAGTGCCACCTTCGAGTTGTGCAGTGCTCCGATTTAGGTGAGCAAAATGAAATGTTGCTTCATAAAATGTCTGTTTATGCTGGCTCACAATGACAACTTAAGCTATTTTTGGGTATCAACACCAACATAGTTACTGAGTTCTCCTGTCACACTATAATTTTGCCATTGTTGTGATAGTATCTGTATGATAGTCTTGTCGAAAACAACAAGGAAAATAAGGAGAGAGAGTTCAGCTGAGAAAAGGTCAGCTGAAAAACAGGGTCTTTGTGGTGGTAGACCATGAAAGAAATAGTGGTAGTCATTTGCTTTCCGTCCATTTTACACTGCCTTTCATTCAAGACCACAGGCATTTCTCTTTAAGGAAATGCCTGTTTGTCAATGTTCTATCATAATAAGCCCGGAAACTGTACGCCGGCTCCCTCGACCAGTAAAGCAAGATGAGAGCCACAACCCCAGAGTCGTCCGCGACTGGACCTAATGGTCAGGGGTCCCTTTACCTTTTTTTAAATATGGTTGGGTGACACAGACCTATATTACAAATCCAGGTAAATATAAATTCTGAGTACCAAACTCTGCTACTCATAATTTCTTGAGGAAATTATGATTCGCTCTACAGTATTTCCTAATCAATAGGTTACAGGGGCCACATAAAACTGGTTGTTACAAGTTTTAACTTGGAAATATGAGCATGTGGACTCTAACATTTTCTAACATTGGCTTTAATTTGGGACTAACAGTAATGCTTTTAATTATTCTAGTTTGATTAAAATATAACTATTTTAGTCTTCATTGACAAATACAAATATACATGTTTGTGTACTGGATGCTTTCCAGACATGAAGAGGAAGCAAAGCAATGGGCAAAGGTCAAACATCTAGGCAAGGAAGTAGATCCCAAGTAAAGGAAACAAAACCCCATAAAACTTAGAAATTGTGGGAAAAGTTAAGGATCAAAAGAGCAAAAGTTTTTTTGTTTCTTTTTTTAAGTTTCTATGATGACTGTTTTTCCTGTTGAGTTGACAATTTTATTTCTCTGTCTGGGGTTTTTGGTGAATTCTTTCTAGGAAGTTAATTATCCTATCACTTCCTTATATGAAAATGCATGCCTCTACAATTATATAGTCAACCTGTATCTTCTAAATAAGCAACATTGTGCCTGAACTAGAGCTTTGGGTATGCTTTGAATTTTCAGTTGGGCCTGTTAAAAATTCAGCGCAGTTTTAAGTATTGTAAGTGGAGATGTCAATGACATTGTCATAAATAATGGAGGGGATGTGTACTGCAGCAATGAACAGCTACCATTTATTTATAGGAGAGAAACACAATTCTGAGACAATTACTGGAACAGGACAGATTTCTGTTCTGATCAGTTGTCTTCTAAATTGAAACCAGAACTCAAAAGGAGTCAATGAACACCAAACTTATTCCATCTGCATAGTCCTTCACATTCTTCTGAAGAGATCTGCTGACGGCCTTGATGCTATGAAGCTACTGGATGTTGTTGGGTTTTTTGGAAGAGATATATTTATGATGCTTTTTGTAATATTTGGCTGGTTGGGAGAGGCAAACAGCAAAGCTCCTGCCTACATATGATTCCCAGAGTTACACAGAACCCAAGATATCTTTAGCCTTCAATAAAGGGGCAAACAAGATATTACTTTAATAGTGTGATTGCCAACTATGCTTGGTTGTTGTTGTTGTTATTTAAATATTAAGCTATGTGATTTTCATTAGGATTGCAGCTGAGGACGGAAGTTTAAAACTGGCCTCCCCTAATTTCCGTGACCCTTATGAAAAATCACCCCACTTTCACTACTATCAATTTTAAAAATATGGTTGCTAATTATGCTATTAAAGTAATGTCTGGTTAGGCTCCAATTCTGTGCTCCAGTTAGAAACTGCTTCTATTATGACACACATATAACCATTCAACAACCACTTCCCCTCAGCTGGAGGAGAGGTCACCTTCTCAAAGCTGAGATCTCCCAAATATTAGCCCCCATTTAGAAAAACATTCCCCATCAATCCTGTGCCATTAGAAATCTGTTTAGCAAAAGAGATGACTAGCTAATCACAACTTGAATCATACAGTTCTCAAAAAAATTGACAAATATTGTCATTTCTAGCTTTCAGTAGGCCAGTAAAATCAAAATTTAATTTCCTTGACTTACAGGTAAAGAATATCTATTACTACGGACAGATTGTGTATGTCCAAAACAAGTTTAATGAAACAAACATTTTGGACATTGTTCGTAAATCTCAAAACCAACCCATTAATGATGGAAATAGTTCAGATTGAGCTATGTCCACTGATAAATGGTGCCATTTTGAGGGTTTTAATCACAGTCCATTTCATGAATATACTTCATATATGTATGGCGTATCTCACTCACATCCCAAATTGTTGCTAGATTCTAAATTACGGTACTAACGTGTCCGAATAGGGACTTCATTTTCTATAGCTTTTCACACCAGACAAACTATTGCTTTGCTCTAGCTGTTGGAGCCTCAGAATGCTGGCTGAATTAATTCTGTTATGCTGTAAGAATTCAAGTTGACTGTTATCCAGACTTCATCCTCCCTAGTGTGCAAGGGTGGAACAAGATAACATTACTATATCCCATCAACAAGCTTTTTACAACATATTATTTATGCTAAAATTCCCTCTGGACTGAATGATCAAATATGAAAATATTCCTGGATGGTTTGCTTAGCTGAGTTGAGAGTCTGTTTAAATATCTAGTTAAATGCCCAGCAATTTGGGTGGATAATTTCTTTTCCTGATTGATTCTCTTCTCTCCACCCATGCATTACTGAATGTTATTGCAAACAACATTCCAGCCTCTTAAGACTCAGGGGGCAGATGTTGCTGGATTCCAACTCCTATGCTCCCTGACCACTGGGAAGGCTGACTTGAGCTGATGGGAACTGGAGTCCAGCAACATCTGAAGGACCACAGTTTCCCATCCCTGAATTCAATAATAAAAATATGTGCATTAAGTACATCCTTTGTTAGCATATATGGAGTCAAAATCCCTGCACTGGGAGATTGTGGTTTAATCAAAACATCTTATCACACTTATCATATATAGTGGTACAGTTGCTGTTTGCTCCAATAGTTTTAAGAGCAAATTTGTAACTGATTGTCTGCATGTTTGGTCACATGTCACTATTATTGGATAGTGCAAGTTTTTGTAGTTTTTTTGTATTAGTATTTAAAGTGGACTCAGTACCATCATCTCTCTGTCATTTATATCCTTCGGTCTGAGTCTGCAAACTGACAGCTCACATTGGTCAGAGGTGCAGAACAGATGTTTCCCAAACCACGCCCACCAACCACTACCCCTCCACACAAAAAGCAGGATGATGCTGCACAAATGAAAATACTGAGGATCTTTCACAAAAGTCTGTTTTTTAGCAGCAGAAGAGTTTCAGTGTTGTTTTGATTTGGCCAGCACTTGAAAAACTGATGAAGAGTCAAATAAATTTGAAAATATACTTTGTGCATGTGTTGTGCATGTAAAGGAACTTCTCTGAATACTTTCTTTTAAAACTCTCCAGCACATTTAGCAATCAAGCCTACATTGCTGAAGAGTTGACCTGAGGCATACATTCTACCCATTTGCTGTTATAGACATCACATAGGAAGAGTCATTTGAGCTTTTTGCTTTGTTAGGGTTTTGCAATCAATATGCCAATGGCTTGTTTAAAAGTTTTTTCCAAGAACACTATATGGGGGGAACGAACAGGGGAAGCACACCTTCCCATCTCTACCAGTCTGCCATTCCTTCCCAAACAAAAAATAAAATAAAATAATAAAATAAAATAAAATGAATGAATTGTATCACATAGCAATTAGGGTTGTTGAGGAACAAACCGCAGGCATACTAGGCTTTTGAAAGAATGTCCAAACACTCAAACAGAAATTTAATACATGGCATCACTTCAGTGTAGTGAACCACATGAATCCCATGTGGTGTTCGTCATGAACCACTAACACATTTTGCAACATGCACATGTGGTGGAAAGTTGTTGGCAATCAAGACTTCATGCCTCATGTGAAATAGAGGGCACAGGAATTGTACCATTTTTTGCACAGAAGCAACTTGATGGAAAGAAATGGAGGTAACTGTCATATGGGGTCTCCTGGAAAGACTCCAGCCATTTACACACAGGGAGGAACTAATGTTGCAGCCAAGGTTCAGGGACATGCCTCCATCCTCCCAACTTAGAAAGTAGCACCAGCCTGTAGGAAATTTGTGCTACCTGGATGCTTGGCTCAGTCTAAAACAGAGATATGAGATATAAGGGGTTATTCCTGTGCATGCAGTTTCATGTCAGGGGAGAGGACAAGTACTCTGAGTAATGGAAATTTACAAATGCTACCATAATTGTATATACTGCTACACAATATTTCTGATAACTTCAGCTGTGGAAATGGTGTTATGAAATACTAGGATCAAAAGGTCTTATTATTTGGAACACATTTTAAGGGTTAGTCATTCCAGAATATATTCGGCAAAAGATATAAATGACAAAGGCAATTTATAGGCCCGGTGGCCCAGGCTGAGTCATGTACGAGCAATGAATGGAGAAATCTTCAAGAAAATCAATCACTGCCATATGGCTTCCTGTTGCTAGATCAGTTTCGCATGTTTTAATTTGCTAGGAGTCCAGATGGATGAAATAATTCAAGCTTATTCAAGTTGTGCTTGCAACAAGTTCTGTAAGAAAATGCAAATTTTATACAAACTTGTAGTGGCAATAAGTCTTCTCTTAAACCTAAGCACAATAAGTAAATCCAAAAGTATGGGTTTATATAAATACATTGGGCAATTCTATCAGCTCCTGCAACAAGGAATCTATAACAGCAAGCTATTATGAGTCAACCTTTGCAAGCTTCAGAATTCATGCAAATTGGACTTTGAAGTTCTATTTAACTTATAAACCAACAGTAAGCCAGTAAGATTTCTTGGTTAAAATAAATAAATTATTTTATTCATAAACTTATGGATAGAAATAGGGCTGACATATGGCATTCAGAGATAAGAAGGCTGCAGTAGTCAAGGCATGAGAAAACCTGAGCACAAACCATACTTTTCACTAGTGAGCAGAGAGAAATGACCATAGGTTTGCAATAATGTAAGGGGGGTAGGGTAACTTGGCAATAGACTGAATATGGGAAGTTAAAAAGAGAGAGATGAATCAAGATAAGGCTAAGGTTCTACCTCTGGTTTTATTCATAAATCAATCTAGTCTTATCTTCAAATGTTTCAGCTTGTACTTCTATGATATTTTCTAGTGTTAACTTTGTTTGAAATAAATTGTGGATTTTATATAAATTGCCCAGACTCCTCACTACCCTGTCTTCTCTGCTTACTCTCCCATATGTACCTACTTGAACCTTAAGATCCATTCAGAGGCACCTTTGAGTTTTGGTGCCAAGTGAATACCTTTCTTTTCATCCAGGCCTTTGAAATATTATTCTGGGCCTCTGTGTTTTAAAAACTGTGTAGCCATTTAAATTAATTGACCCAAGTTAGTCATGACTTAATTTCAGGGCTAGTGTCAAAAATGGGCACATATCGCAGTACTGAGCAATTCTTTCTTTCTGTGAAAACTTTCTATACTAACAGGACAGACAGAATGCATATGCATACTTACAAGATATTTTGGTTAGAAAAGCAAATGTGGGCGACAGTGTTATTTAATTTAGATAGGGCTGTGTAATATGAAATAATTTTAATTTTCTTCCTTCACCTAAGCCACATATATGAAATGGTATCACAAGTGTTTTTAATTTGAAATGGTATCACAAGTGTTTTTAATTTAAACTGATGTTCTTCAGGCATTCACAGAACAGAAATGAATCTGTTCGTAAAAACAACGCTCTGTATACAGTTTCTGTTTCAAAAAAAGAAATGGCAGTGGAGTCATTTAAAATTGTCTTAGTTTTTATAAATCTAATAGCCTGAACATTTTAGATGAGGATAAATATGAGAGCACTGATATGTGGAAAAGCCTGAATGTAAAAATAATGCTAAATATCTTTAATTATATTCTGATGTTTTACTCATTACAATCAGTGATCAGCTCTTTACTTTAGTGGAAGGATACAAATCAAATGAGGCATGTTTTTGGTCTGACTACGTTGATTACATACAATTTATTCTTTTTAGATGTATGACAAGGAACTGAATCTAAACATGGCCTTTTTTAAAGCACTTCATATTTGCTGAAGTCAGCAGAACATGGTATTTGGAAAGTTTCCAAGACCGGGTCCCTGACTGTCATCCAGAATTAGAGTTTAGGATTTAACTGACCATAATTAGAACATGGAGGACTTGGGATTTGAAGCAGTGAACTTAAAGCTTGACTTGACATTGTATGAAGAAACTGCTTGTTTAAATTGGTGGGGAAAGGGAAGCTATTTTACTTCAATGGGGGTGGGGGTGGGGATGTCAGTAGGACTGGTTTCATTCAAAATTCAATAGAATAAGTAAGAGGTAGCTCTGACTATGAACCATGCTTGCTAGGGCTGACAGAAGTTATAGCCCAACAACTTCTGGAGGGCACCCTGGAATAAACAATAGGAATAACTCCTTCTATGGTACTGATGAATGATGCCTTGGCTAAGGACCAAAGTGAGAAAAGAACTACAGATGGATTGTTATAGGACCAGACTACTGTGAACAGTTGAAGATAGAAGTTAGCAAATTAGATGTTTATGATATTTTTACATTTCATTGTGTGACTTCCCCAGAATAAGAGAATAGTTACATGCATTGAACTTGAGAGAGATCTGTCTGTCTTTCATCTAAACAAATGTTTCCCATTCTTGGGTCTCCAGCTGTTTTTGAACTGCAATTCCCATCATCCATGACCACTGGTCCTACTAGCTAGGGATGATGAGAGCTGTAGTCCAAAAACAGCTGTAGACCGAAGTTTGGGAAACACTATCTTAACCCTCATTGAGGGAACTGGCTATTATCAAAGACAGAATGCTGAGGTAGATGAACCACTTGTCCATTTCAGAGTAGAAGTTGTTATCAATCTTTTCAATTTTTAGGTAGCGAAAGCTTGAAATCAGTTGCTCTGCTTCAATAATGAAGATATAAGTAACTATTGATCCTCTTTAACACATCTTTATGGTTTTGTATGTTGTGACGGTGACCAGCTTGGATGGCTTTAAAAGAATAGATAAATTCAAAGAGGATCCCTCGGCCGGAAAGCGAGATGAGCATCACATCCCATAGTTGCCTTTGACTGGACTTAACCATTCAGGGTTAACCATTTAACCTTATAAGTGGCTACTAGTCATAATGGCTATATTCTCCATCCACTGTTGACCATATGCCTCTGAATACGAGTTACAAGTTGCATTCAGATCCCACTTGTGGGCTTACTATAAGCATCTAGTTGGCCACTATAAGAACAGGATGTTGGTCTACCTGGACCTTTGGTCTGATCCAGCAGGACTTTTATCTTGTTCTTATTAATTGCTATTTTTAAAATCCCATTACAGGTCTGGATCAAGTTCCAAAGGATCTCCCCCCAGATACGACTCTACTGGACCTACAGAACAATAAAATCACTGAAATAAAAGATGGAGATTTCAAGAACTTGAAGGATCTTCATGTAAGTTGCAGTGAAATACACATTACATGTTAGTCACATGTTTGATCAGTTCCAGTAGGTTCAGAGACTGACCTGGAATAATATCTACCTTGCTGTTGGTACTATATAAATATTTTGCATATAAACATATAAAGGTTATGTACTAAGCCACTATTGCTACTGTAATTGTGGGTTATAGTCAATTTAGTATTACTCAGAGTAGATCTACTGACATTAATGAGCAGGAATAAGCTAGGTGCATTCATTACAATGGCTTCAGGTCTGGTCATGGCCCTGAAACTGCCTTGGCTACCCTGGTTCATGACATTTATCAGAAGAGAGATGGGTGGATGTGACCCTGCTCTTTCTCCTCTCAGTGCTTTTTCCTATTGGTGGCCAGAGTATCCTTCTGGAGCATATCAGAGGGACAGGGGAATTGTGCTTCACAACAACAAGAATACTGCTACTAATAATGGTTTACATTTCTACTCACTGACCCCTAATGCATAAATCATTTCCTGTCCCCCATCTCCCCTGTAAAGCCTTAACAAGAAATTTAGATGTTCTAAACTTAAAGGATATATCTCTCGCAACATCAGACAGCAAAAAACAGGTATTTGCAAGAGACAACCTTCCCTTCTGCGATCTTAGCAATGGGTGGATGCAATTGTTTCTGAAATTGATTTAGTAGTAGGATGTGGAGTGATAGCCTGCCCTGGATGGGATTATACTGCCCTGGAAGGATTGGGTTGGCACGTCCTAGTTTCTACACGGTCACTGGAGTGCTCAGGTAGCCTCAGTGGCTAGGAGTGCCCAAATGAAAAACAACACCAATATATCTGAATACACAGCAGAAGTTTGGTTATTTTCCTGGTTCCTCAACTACCATTGAAAACATCTGATGGTACCTATTAGAACTGCTGCAGGAAACACCAGTGTGAAATAACTGTATGTGCAATGCATGCACCTGAGAAATAAGGTTGTTCTATGTTTCCCAGACACATGTACATGCATATTTTACTTCCAGACTTGATGAGTTTCTTACAACAAAATCAACATGCAGTACTGCCCATAGCAGGACTGTTTTAATATTTCAGTTGTCCCCATAGTTTGGACAAAGTTGTCATCCACAGGACAGATGGTAAGAGGGTGGACAAATTATAACCATCAGCTGTGCAATAATTGAAGATCGAGCTGAATATATCAATTTAGAGATATTCTGAAACACATAAAAATTTATACCAAATGGGGATTTGTATGAAAGGATTAAAAATGAGTGAACCCCTAAGGAGTTCTGTGGAATCATTTTGGATAGTATGTGGATTGCTGTCTGTGGATATAGAAGGATGAAGAGAGAACCTGGTTTACATGGCTGCACAAAGGACGCAAGGTGCTAGTGATTGGCACCTGTCGATTTCTGCAGAGGCTGCTGCCTACACAGAATAGATGAAGTCTCTACTGATACTGCCTGATGGATCTGGGTTGAGGGGAGCCTATAGGAACCCTTATGTCTACAAGCCTTTGTAGAGTTGCTACACTCAAACACTGTGTTAGTACTGGACACTGATGCCCAGGAGCAGCAGTGGCCTCTGTGGAGGCTGCATTCTTCCTAGGAAGAGGTACGTGAAGAGCAGAAACAAAATAGGGGACACCTGCAGCAGGCCACAGCATGCACAAAGGCCTTTACGCTTTGAGGTGGGCTGATTGTGGCTCATAGTGCTTGGGACAGACCTTTGTCTGAAGGTCTGCTTGGAAGGCAGAGGGACCAAGGCATTATGGTGAGACTAGCAAGGAATCCTGTGGCTTTACTTCTCCATCCTCAGCATAGGAAAACCCAGCAAACATGATTAAAAATGTACTATCCATTATATTAAAACTGGTTACTATATTTGAGGCTGCTTTTGAGCTAGACTCAGAGCAGAATAACCCCTCAATTCGGTATGTTTTGACTGTTTAGACTGAGTGTTTCTTATTGTTTAGACTGATGACTTCCCTTCCTCATTGCCCTGGCTTCCAGGGTTACAACCAACTATGCACTCATATTGGGAGTAGGGACAGTTGTACTGAGCAGGATTAATTTCCAAGTAATCATATGTTGGATTGAGCCACAGGAGTCAGCATGCACAGTACAGTCAGGGAGAAGCATATGGAGTGAGATAAGGGCAGGCACTTGACTGGTTGCTTTAGCTGTGACTTAGCAGCTAACTGAGAAATGAAGCATAGGCAATATTTTTTGAAATTTTGTGGTGGCCTTAGGTAACAGTAACATCTTTAGGGAATCATATAGTTCTGTTTCCTTCCAGGGACTCAATATTGTGACTAAAAGGTCACTGCCTCCAGCAACACAGCTTGATGGAAAGGGGGGGGGCCTCCAAAAACATTATAAATGAATTAATTATGCAAAAGGAAGTAATGGATCTAAAAAAATTAACATTTGGACAGATTTGGCACAAATTCCATGCAAGGCTGAACTCAAGATGACTCAAACAATTATAATTGCAAAATACAAAATCCCAGAGAGATTCCACCAAGACTAGTAATATAAACTATTGGGAGAACATTTGTGTGAAGAGAATTCCTTCTTGCAGAACTGTAACTGTCACTGCTTTCTTTTCTTTTTGAGCTCACCCAGACTGCTGGAGAATTTTACCTTGCCCCAGGATTATTAGATGTTTGTGCGGTTGCCTAGCAGTAACAAATGAGCTACATCCCTGTTTTCCCATTCCAGTTTAATTTTTAGTACTCTAGTTGCCATGAGCATGTCTAGCAGCCTTGGTCCAGGCAAATCCCTCCTCTCAAGTTTTCCCACCTGGCTTCTTTGCTATATGTTCTCCTTAGGATAGGAGGAGTTTGTGTTTGATAGCCAGCTAAATCTGGCACTATTCACTTGGTATGCTAGCAGCCAAAGTGCTACATGTGTTACTGCCATAAGTTCATCTCTCACCAGAATCCACTGTCAAATAAGTGAAGTAAACACAAGAGTGGCTCTGGGTGTTTTTCTACTCATTCACTTTGGGTTAATAGTCTGAGGGTGGGGTTTATTTGCTGCTTGCTTTAAAGACTTCTGAAAATGCAATTTCTTGTATTTATTGGTTGGTGCTTATTATGCTTGACGTGTTTATTCTGTGAACTTCCTTTTGAGTGGTTTTACTAACCACTAGAAGATGGTTAGTAATTTGTTTAAGAAATAATAACAATCAAGGTATGGAATTCCCATAAAAAGGTAAAGGGACCTCTGACCGTTAAGTCCAGTCGTGGACGACTCTGGGGTTGCGGCGCTCATCTCGCTATACTGGCTGAGGGAGCCGGCGTTTGTCCACAGACAGCTTCCGGGTCATGTGGCCAGCATGACTAAGCCGCTTCTGGCGAACCGGAGCAGCGCACCAAAACACCGTTTACCTTCCTGCCAGAGCGGTCACCTTAATTTAAAGCAGTGGGAAGGAAAGGAAAAGTTGTATTTATCATCAATTCATCCACCTAATGACTAGGTTCAGCAGTGATGAGAGGGTGTGAGTTGGAGGGGATATTATTGGGTTGTTGTTTTTATTTTGGGGAGTTTTTATTTTGTGTTGGCAGGGTTATTGGGTTGTTGGCAGGGTTATTGGGTTGTGAACGGCCCTGAGACCTGCAGGTATACAAATTCAATAAATAATAGTAATAATAAAGGAAAAGTGTTTGGGACCATTTGGATAGGTGAGCGACCATTCAACTAAGTATGTGGCACAGGATTAGCTTGCTGACTGGAAGAGCAATCCACACCCCATTTAAATCAGGCTTTGGGGTCTAGGGTGCTTAGACTGGGTAGAGGTGTCCCTCTGCCTGGCCCTCACTACCTTTGCATACTGAATGATGCCAGGAATAGTCCACTGGTGTGTAGCTCCACTTTCCACCCACTGAACATATAGGTGACAGCAGTGGGATCCCCACCAGTGGCAGACAACAGAAAGCCCTGAAATGAGTCATTTCAGGGTGGAGGGCTGATTTGGCAAAGGATGCTGGATTCCAAGCTGGCACCATTGCTGGCTCTGATCTAGGCCCGATCACTGCATCAGCTCCAGGCTGACCCAACAACGTGCCTGATGCCACCTTCACCTTGTACTGGTGGCCCTGCAGCTCTCTCAGTCCCTAATCTAGTTGCTGACCCCTGCCAACAAAAAGTGCTCTGAAGCTCCTACTTCATGCAGGGGAAGGGTGTGTGTGTGTGTTATTTTTAAGCAGCTTCTGTTTGTGGTGGTGTATAAACATATATAGAACATCATCAACAATGTTCAGAGATTCGTATTAAAATGGACTGGTCATTTATATCTCAGTGGTAGTCCTTGTAGCTCTGAGTTGAAGAGAGAAAAATATGTCCACAGCTAAATGAACAGTAAATGTTTTTGGGAGAGGCTTTCTGCTAGCACTGCTGAACTTTGAGTGACCTCTTCCTCTCAGAGATCTGGCCACTCCTGGCTAGTATACAAAATTAAAACCATGCACATCTATCATATACACAGTGGAGCCATCTGCAAAACATACCTCCTGTTTTACTGACAATGAACAGGAAATCAAATACACTAGAGAGAAAATATACAACACATGAACTGTTCAAAATAATAGTTTCTCCTCTTTTTGCTTTTTCTTCATGTTTTCCCTCCCTGCAGCTGTTTATATATTTTCTGATCTTTGCAAATGTTCAGCTTTTCCTCCTGCACGTTTTAAAGATAGCTGGCATAAGTTTAATTATGAAAGGATTTAGAATGGCTAGAAATCAAAACAGAGAGTTGAACCATCTGTTTTTCCATTCTTACAAGTAAGATAATGCATTCAGTGAGCAAATATGCTCTACAGCTGTGTTCCACTGATCAAAATAACAAGGGAACATTATTCCTGAATAATTATTGCTTTCCAAACATCTCAAAGCACTTTCCAAATGTAAATATATTTAATCTCATATTTTTGTGAGAGTCTGAAGAGGAAACAGGTACACAAGGAGTAAGGTTCACATAACATAGTAGGGCCACATGACTGCTACTGTAGTCCAGTGATTTAGGCTCTGGTGACTATGTGGCAGTGAGCAAATCAATCTCTGCCTCAGTTTACTTGCTGCATATGAAGTGAATGCAATTTATATACTACATTATATTGTGGTTGTAGTGGTGCGTCAAGAAGGAAGGGGACAGAGAACAGATGAAAGATTAACCCTGTCACCTCCCTGTAGTTATTTAATAGGTTGGTCACCTAGCTATGAAGTGTGGGGGGGAGAGCACTCCATTTAAAAAAATCTCTTTGAAGCTCACTTTCCGATCGCCTACTAGTTCTACCCATTCATTTCAGAAGATCGACTTCCCCTCCACCTCACAGATGTCTGGCTAGTGCCACCAGCCTCCCTTTCAGAGACTGAGGGAGAATAGAACAGTGAAATCAAAGTTCCTGTCCAGGAGCTTACTCAGGAAGATGCCTACCTTTTGTAACTAGAAAGAAGCAGGTGTGGGATCTGGAATGGACTTCCTTGGAGGAGAGGGGATCATGAGTAAAAATATTTTCCTGGACTAACAGTGGTGTGCAGTTTTGATGATGGCAAAGGATGGGGCAAAAACTGCTAAAAATGAAAGTGTTGGGGTTAAGGACTGCATGAAAGCCATGCCAGTTGCCCTGGATCCATAGGGACAAACAATGTAATACATTGAATGTGTGATCATATTTAAGGCCTGTTGGTACTGTATTTTTTTAATAGCAGCTATGGGTGGGATCCAGTCAGAATCAGGTCTACAGCATGCATGAAGGGAAGTCAATAACTTTTCTCTCTCATCAAACAGCATTGATACTACAGCACATGGAGAGTTAAACCCTCCATAATCAGACCCCTTCCACCTTTAAAAAGAGAATATTGTTGGCTTCAGGTACTGTCTCTCTCTAGGCCTCCGGTTGGCCACTGTGAGAACAGGATGCTGGACTAGATGGGGTTTTGGCCTGATCCAGCGGGGTTCTTCTTAATAATGATCTTACATTTAAAGCAATGTGCAGTTTGTTCCTAAGTATTTGAGAAGACTGTATATAAGCTATAGCTGTTCAGTGATGGAGGAAGCATGTTCTTCACATTTTCAAAGGCATTTTAGATATTAAGACACAAACCAGATATTTAAAACTTATTCCAAGTCTGAGTTCAAGTAGACACAAATTGTGAACAAGGAACACTTTTCTTGGTTCTACACACAAATTTGTGTGAGAATCTGAGGAGCTTGAACTTTGAGGTTTTTTGAGTGACTCAGACATAGCATTAATTTGGAACTTGTGCAAGATGAATAGTTGTGACAACACAGAATGTATGTACTGAGCCTTAGAGAACCAAAGAGAACTTAGTTTCATTATGAAAATACTGGTTAGTCCTGTATGAGCTATATAAATCAAATTCTGAGCCAACTCTGACAATCATGGGGATTCTGATTAGGACGTGTACATTTATGTTTACGTGTGCGTGTGTGTGTGTGTTACAAGATCTGCTCGTTTATGTTCACAGAACCATCACTCCTGGGAGTTTCAGTGGAAATAATTGTATGTCACAGAGGTTACTGCAATGGACCTGATTACTCTGCAAAACATTGCTTTGCTTATTTGCGGAAAATTAGTAAACACTAACAAAACCAGTTCCAATGACTATAAGGTTTATTTAGACAAAATGGCAGGTAATGAGTAAAATGGCTTTGTAGCTTGAATAGCTGGCAAAGAAATATAGAAAGATGGTCAGTTGTTATGAGTCACAGTCTACCCAAACCCATGTCCCCTGAACCATAAGCTTAAAATGTTCCTATTACAGAGATAGAGCTTAAAGAATACCTTACATGGAATATAGATGGGAACCAGGCACACTATAGATGGAGGCCTAAATGCACCAGGGGGAAAAGCTTGAATGCCAATGACTAGAAGTGGACTAGTGTGAGAATTCAGAGAGAACATGACTGAAGTAATAGGGAAGACAGGAGAATAATGAAGGAACGAGATGTAAATAGCTGTTGCAAGCAAAGGAGATATAAATGGTTTTCTAATTTTCACTACTGCCTTTATGTGCACAATCACAACCAAGATTCCTAACAGATGCTTGCATGTCGATGTGTGTTATGGAAGTTCCCAATGGTCAAGCACACTTGGATTAATTATTATGTCTTCTGTGACAGACTTGATAATCTAATCAACCCTTAGGCTTCCTTTAGGCAGATTCCACCCCGGCTTATGAGAAACCCTCCCCAAAACAGAAAAATAAAAGATGTTTCTTTTTGTAACGATACTTCCTCCTGCAAAGGTCCTAACTAATGTAAAACAGAAAAACAACAAGTACAGCTGAAAAATAGGAAGTTGTGGAGAGGAAATAAGGCTAGCTATCTAGCTAAAGGTGAGGAGGTTTGGTTCCCACAATGATCTATAGGGTTGGAGTGTCTTGAAAAAGAGTGATATGAAGCAACTTCCTGGAAGTTTAAAAAAAAAAAGGATGAGGGCAGTGATCTCCTGTGCAGAAAGCTGAACCAAGTAGGGACTGAGAGATGCCCACATAGGAAAAAATCTTCTCAACTGGCATTAGCTTTAACCCAAAGGGTGATCTTTCTGAAGACAGGGCTGGACAGAAGGGGGACTAATTGCTAATTAATTTAAGTACTGAGTCTTTACAGTCAATATATGTTTCCTGCTGCATGGTGACAAGGATGTCATAACTCTCAGACAAGTGACTGAGACATCCCTTGTGGAGAAATATGATGATTTGCAGGAAATGTAAATGTAGGTTTAATTCAATTAATGGAAGAAGGTTCTTGCTGGAGGCAACCTCAACTTCTGTCCAGAGTTAAACTATAGATATGGTAGACATTGAGAGGGAGGGGCTATTAAGGCTTGCATTTACATGATCCTTTATGCATTTTCTTAAGCACAGATAACTTTTCTGTACAGCAGCTACTATGGAGAGGATACAGTACTTGGAGGGAACTACTGGGGCATCCCCCAGTACTTAGTTTGTACCACTATGACTTCATCCGATTCCTTGCAGTGACACTGCATTCATTTCTCAGAGCAAAGCCAAAGTAAACTCATATTTTAAGAGTATGCACTAGGTTCCAGTTGAACAACTGGAGAGTTAAAGGCCCCCTTCCCCATGTCACAGTCCTAAACATGAAGGCCAAATCACATTACAGTGGATGCTCAGGTTGCAAACGTGATCCGTGCGGGATGCATGTTCGCAACCCACAGCGTTCACAACCCGCAGCAGCGCGTCTACGCACGCACGGGTTGTGATTTGGCGCTTCTGCGCATAGTGCGATTTAGCACTTCTGCGCATGCGCGACCTCTGAAACCCGGAAATAACCCGAAGCGTCTGTAACCTGAGGTATGACTGTACAAACTTGTAGGACATAGAGAATTAACATTCTAATGGATGTTTGTATCTTTAGTGGATACTTGTATCTTCCTTTAACAGTATGCCCATGTGTGGCATTAACAAAGTTCTATTTTATTGTTTCTTGCTTTACAGGCATTGATCCTTGTTAACAACAAAATCAGCAAAATCAGCCCGGGAGCTTTTGCTCCACTCAAGAAACTGGAAAGACTTTACCTTTCCAAAAACAATTTGAAGGAACTTCCAGAAAACATGCCTAAAAGCTTGCAGGAGCTACGAGCACATGAAAATGAAATAAACAAACTAAGAAAAGCCGTCTTCAATGGACTAAGTAATATGATTGTCGTAGGTATGCATCGCTGCTTACAGATAGAGTCCATGATAAGATTTTATCAGATGAAAGATGGTAAAATTCAAAGTCAGTAGAATTTGACAGAATCCAGACTACGAAATTTCTTAATTTTATTATTGATGTAAACACTTCCAAGGGGGGGATGTAACAGTGGGTGGTTGAATGTGAAAAAGTGAAGTGTAATTTGGCGTATCAAGTGTTTTGGTTCATACTGAGTTTGCTAAAGTACTTTTCATGTGTTAGACCATGTGTTAGATAATAACCTTCCCCCTTTTTTTACTGGTAACAGTTGGGCATTATAAAGGAGGGTGTAACTGAGAGAAATCAAAAGGAAGAGTTGAAGTAAACATTTGTCTCATACTGTTCAGCTAGGCTGTTAAAATCTCCAGCTTCCAATTTTTTATGGAATGAAATTTTCACAACATGCTGCAACCCAGAAAATATAATCCAGCAAAAGAAAACTCCTGTGAATTTACCAGCTGAATGTTATCACTTCTTATAAAGAACCTTTACAGAGGTATCACACCACTAAATGTGATTTTTATTTTAAAAGTAAGGCTGGAATTATTTCGCAAAGTACAGCGCAGCCAATTTAACACAATTAGAGAAGAATTAAGGAGGGAGGGGTATTAATCTGTTGGTTAAGACTTGTCAATGTTGTTTATTTTTAGAACTGGGTACCAATCCATTAAAAAGCTCAGGTGTAGAAAATGGATGCTTTCAAGGGATGAAGAGACTCTCTTACATCCGTATTTCAGATACCAATATAACAACTGTCCCTAAAGGTAAGCACACTACTTGGGAAACTGAGGCTGTGTACAGCATCACTGCCAAAATATTATGAAGAACTTTATTTTATATTTTTATCTTAAATTGTGTAAATTGTAAAAAATATTTAAAAATTGTCGAATGCAAATAATGCATCACATGCAGAATATTACTTTACTTTTAGAATACAGTAACAAAAGACACTCAAGTTTAAATGGAAAGTATATATCGTACTTTTCTGTGTATATGCTCAACAACTCCAATCCTCCCCCAAAAAGCTCAACAACTTAGGGCCATCCTCCCCCCAAAAAGCTCCACAACTCTGGGTCATTTTCTTAAATTGGAGTCCCCAAAATTAGGGGGCGTCCTATACATGGGGCCGCATTATACACGGAAAAGTATGCTACGTGGTATCAAATATGCATTTATCATTCACACTTAGGAGGGCGGACTTTCCCACAGAGAAGCAGAGAATAGTAATATAAAGTATGTATATACTTACGCTTTATTCAAACTTGTGAGATTAATTCCATCATTCTGCATGGTCAGCCTTTATTATATCCCATTTACATTCTGCTTTTAAGATTTAGGAATGATTTTATGAATATGTGTACAATCACAAGCATGGGTGAACCACTGACCAACAGTACTGTTTCCCAAACTTGGGTCACCAGCTGTTTTTGGACTACAACTCCTATCATCGCTAGCTAGCAAGACCAGTGGTCAGGGATGATGGGAATTGTAGTCCAAAAACAGCTGGAAACCCAAGTTTGGGAAACACTGCTCTGCATATTGCATAGGCTGGACATGCAGAGGGACAGAGTCAATGCTGAACTGATTGGAGTAAATAAGGAATTTATTTTGTGTGAATTCCAGTGTGAACTGACCTGATCTGCTCCTCATGAACTGCAGATCATAATATAATTATCCTTCAGATTTTCTCTTCAACTTTTGCAGTACAGTTCTCAACTCAAAAACTGAACAAGATGTGTTACCATAATATATAATAATTAAATACATATTCATATATTAATTGGTGGCTTTTTAAAAAAATCACATAAACGTAGAAACAGGATAGAACACATGCAATTGCAACATATTATAATGATAGCGATCCATCCATATCTTGTACCACTCTATCTTTCATTTATAAATCTCCAACTAATTAGCAGTCTGTTTATCTATCTGAAAACCACATTGTCACATTCTAGCAAGACCAAAAAAGAGAGTCTAAAAAGTAGCTATACAGAAAAGACCAAGCTTGATCAACAAGGCAGCTAGGACCTTCTTGGGCAGCGAGCAAGTTCAGATTCCTCCATAATGAACCTAGGGTTGCCATATTTCAAAAAGTAAAAACTAGGACACTCTCAGCGGCGTAGCGTGGGTTGTCAGCACCCGGGGCAAGGCAAGTAATTTGCGCCCCCTAACCCCTAACCTGCCGCAGCTGCCAGCTTCTTCTTGCTGCTGCCTGGGCTGGTCTGGTGTGGTTCTCTCCCGCGCTCAGTGCTTCGCTGGGCGGCCGCTGCACTGTTCCTCCCCCAGATAGTCCCTCGCTCTCTCTCCGCACCGCACGCCTGGCACCCACCCCCTCCACAGTGGGCGGCGACCCAGCGGCTCGGATCGGATTCGCACAGCCAGCACTGCAGTGAGAGAGAGTGAGTGAGCCAGGTAGGGGCAGAGAGCTGCGAGTGCGCCCCCCCCAGGTGTTGTGCCCGGTGCGGCCGGCCCCCCCTGCACCCCCCACGCTACGCCACTGGACACTCTGAAATCCTGGATGTATGGCAGCCCTAAATGAACCAGAAAGTGCACATTTACTTCTTCCCATATAAGTGAATGTCTGCAGTTTACTTCTAAGGGTGGAGGGAGGGTTGCACTTGGGAACTGTGCTATAGTAAAGGCCAAACATGCCTCATCACCCCTGAAATGACGTGGATGGGCTCACACCAACCACCGACTCCCACAGGAGCTTTGTGTGCAATGTGTTTTTGTATACAGTCTACCTTCCATGGGTCTTTACAACACACGTTCTCCATCTTTTATTGCAGGTCTTCCCACATCTCTGACAGAACTTCACCTTGATGGCAACAAAATCAACAAAGTTGATGCAGACAGTCTAAAAGGACTAACCAATTTGGCTAAGTAATTATTATTTTATAAAAATGCCCAGCATTATGCAAAACTGGTAGCCTAAACCTTCCTGAACAGCCACAGCTCACTGCATCTGTTAACAAGTTTCAGGCTGCTTAGAGTTGGATCATTCCAAGCACTTTGGCAAGAAAAGAAGCCGTTACTGAAAATGTATTGAATTTTACATTAGCTAGTTTTCTAGCTTTAAATTGTTTCATCTTTCTGTGTTTAATAGTCTTCAAGGTAGGCTAAAAATATACTAAATGAACAATTTTCATATGCTAATGTAGTTTGCCCTACCTTTGTTGAGTAAATGTCTAATATGAGACTGGAATACATATTTCCTGGAGTTGTATACATGCTACCACAAAAACAAAGCTGTAAAGAACCAGTTCTTAAAAATTACATCTATATTGCTGGGCTCTCCCAATTTCCACAAATAAGCCTATTTTTTTATGCTGCACTACACAAAGCAACCTCCCACCTGCTTTGGCGTGCATTGATATTCTTGTTATACAGGTATCTCTAGCTGCAGCAGTATGTATAGAGATATTGCAATCTTATCTGGTACTAAAATCTAACTTTAAAATAATATGGTACTAAGTACCATGTTACTAAAGGACGTGGGTGGCGCTGTGGGTTAAACCACAGAGCCTAGGGCTTGCCACTCAGAAGGTCGGCAGTTTGAATCCCAGTAATGGGGTGAGTTCCCGTTGCTCAGTCCCTGCTCCTGCCAACCTAGCAGTTCGAAAGCACATCAAAGTGCAAGTAGATAAATAGGTACTGCTCTAGCGGGAAGGTAAATGGCATTTCCATGCATTGCTCTGGTTCGCCAGAAGCGGCTTAGTCATGCTGGCCACATGACCTGGAAGCTGTACGCCGGCTCCCTTGGCCAGTAAAGTGAAATGAGCGCCGCAACCCGAGAGTCGTCCGCAACTGGACCTAACGGCCAGGGGTCCCTTTACCTTTACCTTTACCCAGTTATTAATTTGATATATTGTGCACATAGTGATAATTGTATGATGTGAAATTAGCTTCGTAATAAGCCTATGTAGGCACAATACATGACTACAACTGGCCATGTGCAATAGAATTAAATGTAACTATAGTACATGTTTTTTAGTATAGCAACTTGTGCACTATTTTCCTGTTTTTGTGGCATGGTGTTTAATGTGCGATGAATCTACAGAAACAAATATCTATGAGAACAGTTATTTCACTATAGCTTGCACAATATTTTTCTCTTGCAGGCTTGGTCTCAGTTTCAATAACATTGCTAGCCTGGATAATGGCTCTCTAGCTAACGTGCCACATTTGAGAGAATTACATTTAGACCACAATGAGCTTGCCAAAGTACCTCCTGGGCTTGGAGAACACAAATATGTACAGGTAAAGTATACCATAAGACTGTGATATACAACATTTCTAATTACTGTATATCTCACAGGCAACATAGGACTGGCAGTAGTACCTACATCTAATAAAGATGTTGGAAAATCTAATAGAGCAGTAAACTGCGTTTCCTCCATTCACTAACTAATACATAAATGCTTAGCTGTAATATATAATTCTGATGAACTGCCTTTTTAATTATATGAAGTAATGGTGCATGTAGGGATGTAACAATTGGTCTGAATGCCATTATCCAACAACCTTTCTGAAAGTTATAGTAACCTTCCTGAAGTTAACACAGGATAGTCTGCGTCTGCTAGCTACCTGGGTCGGACACCACCTAGGAACCTGATGTTTGCTATTTGCTCTTCCATTATAGGAATAAAAGCATATATAAATTAATAAATAACAGATAACATAAGACTAGTTTAGTTACCAGGTGGACAAAAAACCATTTTCATTTATGTTTTTCCACCCACTTTGCTTAGCTACTGATCTTGTGATAATATCTGCATTACAAGGTATCTTATTTTCATTTGTTGTAAAACAATATCAATAGTCTTTTTGTAATCCAGTGGCTCCAGGGGGGGAAAGCAGGGACTGCAGCAGACAAGCAGAGATTGACCACATTATTCTCAGTGTCACCCACTGTTCCACATGTGTAACAGAGAGCATTCCTCAACAGTGATAAATTGGGGTTGTTCAAGTCTACAGCCCTACTCTGGTGCTATTGTAATTGTGCTTAAACCATGGGTGCAGGGGGATGCTGTCCCCACTTCCCAATATCCTCATCTCCAACCGATCCATTGATGACATTCCCGAAATGAGTGGGAAGGTCTGAAGAAAGTTTTTAAGCAGGTTTGGTTGAACACACTTAAAGGTTTTCCTGCAATGACAACATCTGCATTATCAGTGTTCCCAGTCCCAAAGAAGCTTCTAAGTGCGTGCAATCAAAGGAAAAGTTGGGAGAATGGGGCTGGGACATATGCCCCTCACAACCCAATTGTGTAAGCACAATAACTCCTGCATAGGACTTATATATGCTTTGGAAATGTATATAAGAGGATCAAAAGAGCTTCTGCCTTCTGGTCTTCCTGTAGTATCACAAGGATGGCAACAAATATATGGAGATGTCAACACAATGCAGGGACATAGCTTTTTTTGCGGGAAATTCGCTTATTCCAGCACCGTTTCCCGCTGCTATCCTGGATTGTTAGATATCCCATAGACTGTCCCTGGGACAGGTAAGGCTGCTGATCCCTTATTTTCAAGAAGAAGAAGAAGAAGAAGAAGAAGAAGAAGAAGAAGAAGAAGAAGAAGAGTTGGATTTGATATCCTGCCTTTCACTCCCTTTAAGGAGTCTCAAAGCGGCTAACATTCTCTTTTCCCTTCCTCCCTCACAACAAACACTCTGTGAGGTGAGAGGGGCTGAGAGACTTCAGAGAAGTGTGACTAGCCCAAGGTCACCCAGCAGCTGCATGTGGAGGAGCGGAGACGTGAACCCGGTTCCCCAGATTACGAGACTACCGCTCTTAACCACTACACCACACTGGCTGCTGATCCCTTATTTTCAAATCTGAAAGTTGACAGCTATGTGCAGGGAACTTTAGTGTGTTACCCGGTGGGCAGAGTGAAGTATTAATAATGAGTGAGAGCAAGTTTCTTCTACTCTGGTTACAGTGATTGCTCAAGGGATGATTTTTAAAAAGTGATTTTGGCTTAGTATGTGGAAATCCATGTAAGAAATGATGATAAATGACCCATGTTAGGTTTCTGCAACACAATAGCCTGTCTCACTTCTGCAATGTTTCTACTTTCCAGGTGGTCTACCTTCACAACAATAAAATTGCTGCCGTTGGTCCCAATGATTTTTGTCCTCCTGGATACAACACCAAAAAGGCTTCTTATTCAGGAGTGAGTCTGTTTAGCAACCCTGTGCAGTACTGGGAAATCCAGCCATCCTCCTTCCGCTGTATCTATGAACGATCTGTAATACAACTTGGAAATTACAAATAGATGCACAAATGCATTTCTGCTAGAAATACCTGTTGCCTGTTAAAATGTTTGCTAACATTAAAGCCAAATACTGGAAACTTACCTGCAGAGTGGATATCATTATGTATGTAAAAAAAAAAGCAAAAACCTAATAGATCATTCCAAGACAAAATTGCTGAATTTACTATGTTTTACTTCCTTGCCAGCATGTGGTATATTTCTGTGGTCTCTATCGATTAGCTGAGTGCAACAGATTTCAGTATTCCACTGTGCATGAGATTTGAGGTAAATATTTGTCATGCTTTTCACAATTAGAAATTATATAGATGGTGGTATTTACAACAACACAAAGGGATTACTTGGAGGGAAAGGAAACGAAACTTCCAATATATATATATTATTCTTGGTGTGGGGCAGGAATAGTCAACTGAAGACTCAACCAAACTCCATAGGAATAAAGCCTGAATGTAGGTACCAGTGTGCTTACATAACATAAGCAATATTAAAATGTTGCTTTTGTTAGCATTCTTGGTTAAAATACTCTCTTAATATATTCAAATTTTCATTTATAAATATCCTAAATATAATTTTACGCGAGATTAGGAAACATCTGCTGCACAAAGTACATGATTATTGTATCCCTGGATGCTGCTATTTCTGGACTACAACAGCTAACTTGTAGAGGAGCAATTTGTTTCTCCTTGCTCTCATTACCACTTCTCTGTGTCATAATCCACCAAACAATATACCCATATGATTTCCATTCATCTAAGCATCTGCAGTAACCCACTCAAGGGGATGTACGCAGTGAAACTGCAGGCATGTGTAAATTTAAGCAGGCATAAGCCCACAACGTTAATTCATTGCTCTTAAATACAACAATGCACTTTCATCTTTTCACTGCATTTGAGTTTCAACAACCTTTTAAAATAGAATGTAGAGAGATATGCAGACTTCCTTTTCAGCAGTATCTAGAATTACATCTGAGAATATATAACTGGCCAGAACTTGATGAGCAGATTTAGAAGTCTTCTCTTTCAAAAGTCATCTGAAACCAAACCTTCTACATTCATCTCTATAACTGGCTTCAGTTAGTGGCGAGCATACCAAAATAAGGATGTATATTTCTGGGATCACTGTCTTCAAAGTTAACTATATATCTTTCCACATGTCAAAGAAAAGTTTGGATACCTCTTAATTGTCTAAAATACAATATTTTCAATGTATGTATGTTTTTATATTAAACAGTACTGGCAAACTCCAAAACCTTGTTGTGTGTTATATAGCCTCTCCTGTACAAAACAATGTCAGAATAGCTTCAGAAAACTAATAGTTATTATAAAAAGCAACAGTTAAAGTTAACATGGGTTATCTTAATTGTTTTTACATATATCTTTTCAAATACACATGAATATATTTTTTCTGAAGAGAAAATCTTAAGAAAAAATGTTCACCTCTAGTTATTAATAAGATACTAAAACACATTTGGAGAAGAAAAGAGGAATTCACCTTTATGAGAGAAGTAAAAAAATGGCAGGGTTATGTTTCCATAAACTATTTTCTTTTTATTGTATTAACCACAGTTTGGCCATATGAGAAGGTTTTGCATTTAAGAGGTAAGAGATTTTCCTTGATTTCCATTATCCCCCTCATAAAAGTAAAATAGTATTTCAGTATGGTATATAATACAATTCAAAACTTTACCAATAAATAAATAAAGCTGAAAGGATATCCAAAATATATCTCTTTGCTAAGGCTCCTGCTAGAAAATTGAAGAGTCTCAGCCCTTCTAGTGAAACATTCAACATTCAATGTTTTGCACCAACCACCAGAAAACTCACCCTGTGGCCACCCTCCTATCATCCCTGCTCTTGGCTTCCCTGATAAAAATGCTTTAGATACCTTAGGGAATTTACTGAGCTAATGGAGCATACAGATTATCTGTATAGAGCTATACAGAGCTTACCAGATAAATGTTTTGGGACGTCAGTTGAGGGTAAAACAAGATGAGTCAACAGAAAACTCTTCTTTTGGTATAAAGCAACAGAGGTGGCGAGATGGGGAAAATAATCATTTCCCTTGGGATATTTTCTCAACGAAGATTGGTACCTCAGACTTCTATTCGCCTTATTAGAAAACAGGCCAAGAATAGGATAGCAGTATACTGTACTTGTTTCACATTGTTACCAACTACCGGTATTCTTGTGGAACAGATTGCACAACAAGAATCAGCTGCTGCCTCTGCTAGTGCAACTGCTGTGTAGGATTCTGTTGTTGTGTACCTTTAAACTCTGTCAGAGAATGTTGGATATGGCCTTGACGGAAGTGCTTTTTCACAATATATTTAAATTATGGATCTTACTACCACAGATTTGGTGTGTTTAAAAGGGTATTAGACAAATACATGGAAGAGAAGGTTATCAATGGCTACTAGCCATGCTGGTTTCAAATTCATGGGCTCCGAGCTTCCGATCACCAGTTGCTGGGAATGAGTGTTGTTCCACTAATATCATGAAGAAGGCTATTCCAGAAAGTAACAAATAAACTCTTAACTCCTCAAAATTTCTTCAGTTTCTATTATACCAAATGAAATTTTGACTTTTTACACTAGAATAATTAATATCATTATGGAAATTGGCTGTTTTTGTTTGCAGTTGTAATTTAGGTGCAGTATTCAAATCCACAATACTATGATTATTATTATTTTTTTTAAAAAGCATTAAGGTGTGTGTGGGAGAACAGCAGAACAGTCACCTGGTAGTTCTGTGGGAACAGCAAAAAGTTGAGATCTTTGAGGGGGTAAAGGGTTTTCTCAGATAATTTTGAAAAAATGGAGGGTTGACAGATCCCTTCCTACCTGGAGTACAATAGGTAAAGGTAAAGGACCCCTGGAAGGTTACATCCAGTCAAAGATGACTATGGGGTGCATGCTCATCTTGCTTTTCATGCCAAGGGAGCTGGTGTTTGTCCACAGACAGCTTTCCAGGTCATGTGGCCAGCATAACTAAACCACTAATGGCACATGGAGGACCGTGGTGAGTACCAGAGTGCACAGAAACAGGCAGCGGTACCTATTTATCTACTTGCACTGTGCTTTCAAACTGATAGATTGGCAGAAGCTGGGACAAAGCAATGGGAGCTCACCCCATTGCGGGGATTCGAATTGCCAACCTTCCAATCAGCAAGCCCAAGAGGCTCAGTGGTTTAAACCAAAGTGCCACCCGCGTCCCTACCCGGAGTATACTGATATAAAGCAACATGCCAAAATCTAATGTAATTCATGCAAATTTAGCAACTGCTTTTTAAAAGGAAAGGAAAAGAAAACAATTTTCTTGAAGAAATGCAGATCTTGAGTTAGCAGAAAAAGTTGATGAAAACAGAAAGAAATATAAACATAGACACAAAGCATGTTTAACTGTTAAAATAATGTAACAAGGTCTGAACAGTAATGGTGAATGGAAATCTAGGTAAGGCTTAGAGTTGGGAGTTTTGGGGAAACGGGTGGGATATGGGTAAGCTAAAGGTAAAGGGACCCCGGACCATTAGGTCCAGTCACGGATGACTCTGGGGTAGTGGTGCTCATCTCACTTTATTGGCCGAGGGAGCCGGCGTACAGCTTCCGGGTCATGTGGCCAGCATGACTAAGCTGCTTCTGGCGAACCAGAGCAGCGCACGGAAACACCGTTTACCTTCCGCTGGAGCAGTACCTATTTATCTACTTGCACTTTGATGTGCTTTCGAACTGCTAGGTTGACAGGAGCAAGGACCGAGCAACGGGAGCTCACCCCGTCACGGGGATTCGAACCGCCGACCTTCTGATCGGCAAGTCCTAGGTTCTGTGGTTTAACCCACAGCGCCACCCGTGTCCCATGGGTAAAGTAGAACTGAGGATATCCAAGTTTGTGTGTGTGTGTGTGTGTGTGTGTGTGTGTGTGTAAGAGAGAGAGGGAGAGAGAGAGAGAGAGATGGAAACAATAATAAAACAAACAAATGAGGCCATAGGATGAGGAGAGCCCTTCCCTCTGTCTCTTACTTCTGGGCACCCTTATCCTGTAAGAAGGCCAGGCAGTTAACTGCTTATACTGTGTCCTAGCAGCCTCTAGTGATCAGATGTTTTTCTTGCATTCACCATGAACGATGGGATAGATAGATGTGTCTTAAAATAATGAACATTATCATGTTCCACGTTCATACATTCATGATTGTACAGTTACCACAAAATGTGTGCCCGCCCTCCACCCCCCGGAATTGGAAGAAGTCCTGGATGTTTCACACTTCAGATAATTTTAATTCACTACCTTGCTGTTTTTCCCAAATGCACCAACATTTAAAATGAGAGTTCCTTCAGAAGAAAGGAAATATACTGCTCACATGTATCCAAATTTGGATGATGTGAATGATACACCTGGCTCATTTTTCTCCTTCAATTCCTTACATGTATATTAAGACGTGAAAAGAGAAAAACAGCACAGGGTAAGCAGGCAACTAACCTTTGCTCAGAGTACAACCATTGAAACTAGTGGACCTAATGTAGTCATGTTTATCCATTTCTTTTTTTTTTTAAATAATATTTATTAATTTTCCAACCGTTTAAACACAACAAAACAGAAAAACAAAACAAAACAAAAAACAAAACATAGGACTAACAAAACAAGACACAAACCATTTAAAACAGAAAACAATTTCAATATCTTAACTTTCATTCCCTTATTTCCACGACCTCCTCACACCTCCCTTTTTGTATTCCACTTCTGTTAATTGTTTCAGCAATTCCTTTCCATCTTCCTCTGTTTTCTATTCTATAATTATCTTAACATATTCTAACCTTATTTTTCCCTTTAATACTCTATTAATCTATTTATACTTAATTCCTTATAGCATTTCTACTAAAGCCATATAACTTCATTCCAACATTTTTCTAACATTCATTATTTTTACAGTATTTCTATAAATAGTCTTAAACTTTTTCCAGTCTTCTTCCACCGACTCTTCTCCCTGGTCTCGGATTTCTGCCAGTCGTTTCCGCCAATTCCATATAGTCCATCAACTTCATCTGCCATTCTTCCCGAATAGATAAATCTTGTGTCTTCCAGTACTTCACAATGAGTATTCTTGCTGCTATTGTTGCATACGTGAAAAAAGTTCTATCCTTCTTTAACACCAATTGGCCGACCATGCCCAGGAGAAAGGCCTCTGGTTTCTTCAAAAGGGTATATTTAAATACCTTTTTCATTTCATTATGAATCATCTCCCAAAGTGTCTTAATCCTTGGGCATGTCCACCAAAGGTGAACTCTAATCCTCAAATTGGTCTGTTTTTCTTTAAGTTCAGTCATAACAAGCGTCAACTTATGTTCATCAAATTGCCTCTGTAGGGCTGGGGCTCTCTTTCTCTTTCTCTCCAGTTGCGTTACTTTACATTCAACAACAACAGCTTTTTCCCTAACTTCCTCCGCAGTTTGCCGTATCAAAGTAGGTTCCTGTATCAATTTCTGGGTGGTTTCTGTATTGGTATTAAGTTAATTTTAATAGTTGAAACATCCACTTTTGCATTTATCGTGTCCATTTTCCTGTTAAGCTGATCCAATGAGTCATTTATCTTATATAATGCAGCCACTAAAGCCTCTTCTGTCGACATTCCTCTTGGTTTTAAATATACTGGTACAAAGGCTGCAACAGAAGAAGCAGGGGAGCCTGATGATGGGCCTCTCCTGGATTGTTGCCAAGTCCTCCCAGACCTTAATGTTTTGTCAGCAGTTGACTGGTCTGTTTTTCCTCTTCCATTTACCATAATACTTAAAAGATTCAAGGTCAGTCCCAGACTCTCACGGTTTTTAACTTGCAGCTGGAAATTTCCCTAGCCCAGCTCGTGTAACGCAACCGGTTTCAAAGGCTTCCACTAGGGGGAAACAGTTTCTATTTGTAATAGTCAATAGTATCCTCTTTTAAACAATCCAAAATTAGTTTCAAATTAGTTTCAATTTTCAGTTACTTTTCAGTTACTTTTACTCCTTTTTAAAGCAGCCGGAGACAGTAGAAACAATGTATTTCTCTTGTTTAACTAGCTGTCAATGAACGTTCTAAACGCTGTCAATGAACATTCCAAAAGACGTCAGTCCTACTAGCAGCCCGTTTCCAGGGTCAGAGCGGCGGTGTTTTAAATCTCTTCGCTCTCTCCCGCAGGCATACTCAATCCACAACTTCCCCCTCTCTTCTCCTGCCTCCAAGAGGGGGTTTAATGTTCTTTACCGATGGAAATTTAATCTT